GGACAAGATACTAGCAAAGAAAGGAAAGGATTGTTTCAGCCCTGGGTGTCTTTCTTTTTTTCAGGGAAGGGACCCCGAAGGGTTTTTATCATGCAGATGACCTTACTAGGGGTGGTCAGGACATTTCAGGGTGACTCTTAAAATGTCACATTCCTGGGAGAAGTTGAAAGTTGTAATTAAGGGGCACCTGGGTGACTCAGTCATTTAAGCGTCTGACTCTTGATTGCGGCTCAGGTCATGGTCTTAGGGTCGTGAGATCAAGCCCCACGTGGGGCTCCAGACTCAGCAGGGAGTCTGCTTGAGAGTCTCTCTCTCCCGTCTCCCCCCCCCACTCATGCTCCCTCGCTTGCTTGCTCTCAAATAAATAAATTTAAAAAAAAAAGTAAGTTGTAATTAAGTCTTGGCTTGCTGTCTTGGGGGACAAATGACTTCATTTTGAACTTCTTTTTTAACAATACTGAATTATTTCAAGGTAAAGGGATATCATATCTATAAACCTGTTCAAATATTTCAGAAGAAAATACATATGTATTTCTAGAGAAAATGCTAAAGCATATTGTGATAACATGTTAGCTTTTAGAGAATCTGGGTGGGTGGTATTTGGTAATTCTCTATATTATTTTTGTAACATTTCTGTATGTCTGAAATTATTTCAAAATAAAAATTAAAAAAGTAATTTGCTTAAGTGAGAAGGGGGAGGAGAGGATCAGGTGGGTCTTCTCCCATCCCAGATCACCAGGCATGAAGTCCATGGTGACGAGCTACCTGCCCAAGATGAACTTAGAGCCATGGAGGGGTAGGGGAGGTGTCATGAGTGATATGGTTTGAAGTGGTGGGGTTCAGAGCCAATGGCCAAGAAAGAATTCTTGAGATGTCTTCAGTGCAAAACAGTGGTTTTATTAAAGCCCGGGGACAGGACCCGGCAGGAAGAGCTGCACTGGGATTGTGAGGAGCGACTGATTATATACTCTCAGGTTGGGGGGGGAGGGTTAGTGAGAGCGAATGTCTCTAAGGAGTTTTGGAAGCAAGGTTTCCAGGACCTCGAGGGGGCTAGCTATTGTTAGGAAAATGTCATTTATGACTGTCTAATAAAAAGTCATGAGACCCTTCAGATGTGTATCAGTGGGCCATATGCTTGGGGGATGATTGCCAACATGTATCTTAGGTGGGGTGGGAGGGGGAGTAGAGATAAAAGAAGTTTCCAAAGGAATTTTTATATGTTAAAGTAGACTCACAGGATCCTGGTGGTCAGGCTAAGATTGCCTCTTGCCCCTAGCAAAGTATTAACATGAAGGCAGCTGAGTTCCTAGAGGAATGTCTCTCTGCCTGTTTCAAGGACTTGTCAGCGAGCTGTAAGTACTAAGGACATTTTTTTTTCCCTTGTGCCTCTGTTTCCCACATCACATGTATAGAGAGTAGCTGTAAAATTCATAGAAATAAGGAACTCTCCAGCTGAGGCAGGAGGAGGATGAGCTGGGTTAAAGCAAGGACGATAGGCCAGGAAAAGCTCTCACTAGGGACACTGGCAAGAATTGGAACCTCCCTGGAAATGAGAGCAGAAGCCACAGAAAATGATTTTCATATTTAAAAGTCTTACATTTTTTTATGTTTGACTAAAGGAGGTCCGACTTAACATGTGGTGCTGATTAAACCATCCTGCGGGGCCAGAGGTGAAATGAGACCTCCGACCCCTGCTCTGTCAGGGCCCAAGGGAGGGGAAGGGCTTCCCAGCTGCCCAGCGCCAGTAGCATGGAGACCCTGTTGGTGGAAGAAAGGAAACTGTAGGGCCTTTGACCTCTGACAGAGCAATAAAAATGCGGGGATGGCATTAATTCCTGGTGCAGGACATAAAGTTGGGGGGAGGGAGCAGGGAAAGATGAGAAGGACCCACACATCTCACCAGAGAGCGCTTTACTGATGCAATCCTGCTCTTCGCAGAGAAAGACTTCTCATAAAATGTGATGGTTCTTAAACACACAGGAACTGTTCACACCATTGGGCTCTTGTTTCACTGCAGCTGGAAGAAGGCAGAGAAACAAGTAGTGGTGAAACAAGAAAGGAATTTATTTATTTATTCCAACACCGGGAATACTGCAAACTAGTATCTCAAAGATTATCTCCAAAGTGCTGAAAATATGTTCCGGTTTACGGAAGGAAAATGTGGGACATGGTTGAGTTGGGTACATGCAGTGAAGGTCAAATCAATCAGGGTCTTGGAATCCATCATGGGAGGGGTTTCGTTGGCTCAGGGTGGTCCTTATTGCTTGAGGGGCTAGTCTCAGGTCCCATCAGGGGATGCTTTGCTCTCAGGGTCTTCTGCCTGAGCCAAGAGACAAGGCGGAAAGAACAGAATCAATTAGAAAGTTTGAGGACAAAATGTAGGTAGTTGGAAGTCCTCTTTCAGGTTTAACAGAAGCAAGTGCACTTGGACAACATGTTAAAAAGAAGGAAAAAAAAAGGCAATTTCCCCCTAATGCTGTGTGCCTTCCAACCAGTAACATGAATTTTGTTACTACTGGTGAAGAAGGGCTCTGTATGCTAGTAGAAGACTTTTGCAAGGGGCAAAAATAGGTGAATGCATTTACTACATTGACTTGGCCATGACTTTGAGCAAATGTTTGATCCTTCTGGATCGTGTATAAAGATAAAACAGAAACCCAGCCATGGCAATTATGTGTGGACTAGTTTTCTGTTTGGTGGGTGAGTAGGAATGAAGCAGAGAGGGTGGAGAAGAAATGAGATTAGACCAATTAAAGTAGTCCCCAATAAAAACCCAGTAGGGCAATTGAGAGCTTTGAGGTTTTGTCAAAATCAGGAGCCATTATTTTTTTAGTACCTTTCAAGCACAAAGAGGGGCTTGGTTACGTAAATTATGACACGTCCTTATACTGGAATGCTTTGCAGTCTTGCCCGAGGATGAGTTATTTCTCTCTTTTGACATGGAAAGGTATTCAGAATAGAACATTGAGTTTGTTCGGGTTTTTAAGCAAATGATACCTAGCGCCAAAAACAAAAAAGAAACTGAAAGCATAAATATCAAATTGCTAGCAATGTTTCTGTCAGGCCAAGAATGAAGATTGCAGAAAGATTTTCAGTTTAGAGATTACACACTTCTAAGTCTTAAAATATGTTTTAAATTTATGGGTACGAGGGGTTTTTTTTATATATATAATCAGAAAAACACAGTGAGGACATTTGCACTTTGAAAAATCAATTTAGGGGCGCCTGGGTGGCTCAGTCATTAGGCATCTGCCTTCAGCTCAGGTCATGATCCCAGGGTCCTGGGATCAAGCCCCGCATCAGGCTCCCTGCTCAGTGGGGAGTCTGCTTCTCCCTCTCCCACTCCCCCTGCTTGTGTTCCCTCTCTTGCTGTGTCTCTCTTTGTCAAATAAATAAAGAGAGAAAGAAAAACCAATTTAAACAATGCTCGGTGGTGGATTTTTTTTAAAAAAAGCAGCGAGGAAAGGGGTTTTGTTGCAGAGTTTCGTTACACGTCAGGCTAAATAGGACCGGAGAGGCTGAGCATCCATGAGAAAGTGGAGAGAGCAGTGGAAGTAGGCTGTGGATTGTTCGCCTGGACTTTCAGCATCACTGAACCTTCCTCCCGCAAATTGCACAACTCGTACAGCCCAGCTGGGCCTTCTTCATCCCAGTGTCTCCGCCCACGGCACATGCACAGGAGTGAGTGCTGTTCCCTAACTGCTGGGAGACTGGGCACATGGGTCCGGAAGGGAGAACAAGTAGGGGTAAGCCATCAGCAAGTCGGATTACTTCCAGAGGCCTTAAACTGAGACTGGTAAAATCTCAGAGAGGAAAAACTGGGAAATTGGAGGGTGAAAAGACCTCCTCTAGCGTCCGCCCAAGTGTTTTGGTCTGTTTCACCATCCGTTGGATTTTCTTAACCAGACTTGGTTGATGTCGAGTGTTACCAGTTATACCATCTCTTTGGTGCCTCTCTTGTGTGTTTCAACCCGCCTGTCCTCGCACCCGCATCCCTAGAGTATATGTTGTCCTCCGTGATCCTTCCACACCTGCCTTTGCTTTGTTCACTCTGTCACCACGTTGACTCTTGCACAGACTCCAGTCTGGGCCCTGCCCTTCCACTTTGAACTCTACCATCCCACCTCTTCTCCTTTTCCACTGAAGGCACACAAGTGATGTCCTGATTCTGTTTTGAGCTTGCCATTTCTGGATTCAGGTCTCCTGGGGGCCCTGCAGCATCCCTTCTGGGCCGTGGGTACGAATACCCATGGAAACCCAGTGCTGGCTGGCATTGGGAGAGCAAGTGGCTGGTTGTCTGTGGCTCTGAGCTCTTGGCCCCATGGGTCACAGTAGGAGTCTGCTGAATGCTATGTACCCTCCTCCCAGAAAAGTGTACACACTTGAAAAATTGTGTACGCAGTTCCAGGGAGTGCACGGACCATCCAAACCCCATGTGTACCCCCAAAGATCATGCATCCCCAAATCCCTGGAACTGATCCTCTATTTTAGGATAGATGAAAAGGAGTGAGTTCACTAGAAACCAAAGTAAACTAAGTAAAGTGTGTTTCTAGAATTTTCTTCACACTTAAAACTACCTGGAGGCACAATGAACTGAAGATAAACCAGATTGGGGTGTTGCAGTTATTAGCATGACGTTAAAACTGGAGGGAAAGCTTTGTTAATACAGCTGTTGGCATATAGCTGTGTAGTCAGGTGAATTGTATACTGCCTACTTGGGTGGCTCTAAAACATAGTGGGCCAAATCATTTAGGTTTAGGGGTACGTGTATATGTATGTTAATGCATGTGCGAATGTGGGAGTATATGTTTTTAACAGCTCACAGAAGTTAAAATTTTAAATATGTATCTAAGAGAAAATAAAGGATTTCATCTCAATTTGTCTTTCATGTCTGTTAGATATATTTATATTTCATAGAGAGTTGTTGAATATATCGTTATATCTTTGTTCCTTTTGGCATTATGGACACTAACCTTTTAATGTTGCTGGTCCTTTTTCAGGATGGACAAGCTTCATTTATACCATATCTGGAAATGTGTATATTGGTAAGTGATGATGATGTTGCTTTGGGTTCAATTGCACTGAAATTTAAACTACTGAAGGAGAGGGAAAGCAAGATGGAACCTCTCATGTAATCGAATACTATGCCGCCTTCTGTCCAGCACCAGCCCTCTTTACATCCTAGTACATCTTGCATCCTGGTACGCCCAGGACAGGGCACCTCTCAGCTTCCAGCATGTTCAGTGAGGGAGGAGAATATGAACAGCAGGCACGACAGCCGCCATTTCACTGTGGCCTGTGTGTGGATGTAAGGTCCACGCATGATCACGTGGGTTGACACCTTGTTAAGAGGTTGGTGACCTCCGTGCTGATAAAGGGATGGAGCTCTAATGGGCTAAGGAGAGCAGGAATCTATCTCCTGGGAGGTGGAAGGAGGTGAATTTGCGGTCCCACGTGCCGCTGAGAAATCTCAAAGTTGCTTTTCTCTTATTTTAAGGGTTGTACACCTGTCTCTTGTTGAGTCTAGTCTAGGAGGGATATTCAGGACCCAAGCAACTGTCATCTTATAGATGACGAAAGTAAAGTCTAAAGAAAGATCTTTGACTTGCCAGGATTATGCCTTGGAGGACCAGGGACCAGAACCAAGGACTCCCCAAGCCCGTTTCCCATGCCGCACGCCATCATCTTTGTACCATGACAACACAGCAGCCCCACCATGGAACCTGTCTTTTCCAGTCTCAACCTTGTAGCCAGCCCCGCAGCAGAGTAGGCTGGCTTGTGTCGCCCTGTCCTCCCGGAAATGGCACGGGTGTCAGGCACGTCTCTCTGTGGGACTGACGGAACCCCACGGTAGCGGGTGCTCTAGGTGCCCTCCCCACAGCCCTGAGGCCTCAGCTCCGCGGAGCTCGCTGGCCAACTTCTAGCTCGCCAGTGGGCTCTGTGTCTCGTGGCCTGAAGCTTGCTCCGAAACTGGGAAGGCTGCTCTCTCTGCCCCACTCAGGGCAGGATGGCGGTCCTGGCGAATTGACATTCCCAGAAGCTACCTCACCCCTCAGGTGGGATAACTGAGTGCTGTGTGTGAGGCCTTTTCCTAGCCTTTCCCCGTGGGCTTATGTCCCAGCCACCCACACACTTGATGACACACTCTTCTTTGTCCTCGTTCCCTTACCTAACTCTCTCAGTTCCTGGACTGTTGTTTCCTGTGTCCTCTCGGATGAATTCCTTGCACTTAAATATGCATCTCAGACTGTGCTGCTGCTGGGAAAACTGAAAATAAGAGGACCAGCCTCCCCTCTCCCCTCCCCTGCCCCTCATGACAGTGATGCGTGGTGTGGATGGGGGGGGTGGGGCAGGCCAGGAGTGTCATTTCGGAGACCCTCTGGGGTTGTGTGGCCTCCACCCCCCTCCTGCACGCTAGCCTCCTCAGCAAGAACTGTCTTCCTGGGGCCCTAACGTGCCTACCTCCTGGGGTAATAACAGCCCCGACCGCTGGCTTATTGATAACATCTGCTTGGGACTTGAAGGCGACACCCAGAGCCACTTAAACCATTCTTTATATATAATCTCTGAAAGGAGTTCAATTGCCTCAAATTACTCTTCTGGAAAATAGTGGTAAAAGAAACCCATGTATTTTGATCTTATACAGTAAAAACGGCTTTAGTTCCTCTTTCACTGAATAGCATTTCAATTATGGGTCAGAAGCAAAGCTCACTTAGCGTTTGAAAAACGGTGAAAAAAATCAGTAGTAGTATCCCAAGTGTCACAAACTATATTAACCATCTGAAAGAGATGAAGCATCATTTGTTGTATGATCCTCTTTTGAAAATCATGAGTATCACAATGTACTTGATACACATGGAGAGTAAAGACTGTTTTTGTGGAGGTAGCACCCATTGACTTAGGATTTCAAGAGAAACAAAATAATCTGCACAAATGGAAAGTAATAAAGAGAGCATGTGAATTCTGAGGTGGTAAGGATACCGGAAATGTTAGTGTAGAATGAGAAAGGGCAGGGGCAGCAAACTTGTTATGAAGGGCCAGATAATAAATATTTTCATCTCTGTGGACCATATAGAGCTTGAGTTGCAACGACTCTTTCCTGCCCTTCCAAAAGCAGCCACAATAATACGTCAACAGTTGGGGTGGCTGTTCCAATAAAACTTTACGGCCACTGAAACGTGAATTGTGTATATTTTTCATGTGTCATGAAATGCTATTCTTTTGATACTTTTCAACCATTTAAAAAGGATAGAAACCTTTCTTAGCTTCTGGACTCTACAAAAAGCTCATATTTGATTTTGGTTTAACTGGTGGTGTGGAGGATGAAGGGGAGAAAAATTAACAAATAATCTTCAAAACCTGTTTTTTTAATTGAGGTTAGTTGATGTACAGCGTTACATTAGTTTCAGGTGTACAACATAGTGATTCAACAAGTCAATAGGTGATGCTGTGCTTGCCACACCTGGAGCTCCCATCCGTCGCCATACAACACCATTCCGGACTATAGTCCCTATGCTGTACCTTTCGTCCCTGTGACTTATTCATTCCCTAACTGGAAGCCTGTACCTCCCCCTCCCCTCACCCATTTTGCCACATCCCCCTCTCTTCAAAACCTGTTTTTTTTGGGCGCCTGGGTGGCTCAGTTGGTTAAGCGACTGCCTTCGGCTCGGGTCGTGATCCTGGAGTCCCCGGATCGAGTCCCGCGTCGGGCTCCCTGCTCGGCAGGGAGTCTGCTTCTCCCTCTGACCCTCCCCCCTCTCATGTGCTCTCTCTCATTCTCTCTCTCTCAAATAAATAAATAAAATCTTAAAAACAAACAAACAAACAAAAAAACCTGTTTTTTTTAAGATTTTATTTGAGAGAGAGAGAGAGCGCTAGCACGAGCATGAGTAAGAAGAGGAGCAGAGGGAGAAGCCGACCCCCCGCTGAACAGGGAGCCCCACGCAGGGCTCCATCCTGAGCCTAAGGCAGATGCTTAACCAACTGAGCCACCCAGGTGCCCCCACAAAACCTGTTTTAATCAGTAGTTACAGCCCTGTTTTCTAACAGACCTTTAGTCCCAGAATTCAACAAGTGAAAAGCTCAACATTTGGAGGGGGTAAGAATGACCTATACATCCCCTTGTTTTTCTTGGGAAGGCAGGAGTTTCCTGAGCCATTTCTATTCACTGGCCTGGTCACCTCTCAAAACATCTGGCAGGAAATGGGGTCACAGTCTATAGCGTTGGAGCGAACTTGCATCTGTCTGGGGTAAACTGGACCGTGGAGAGAATCCACTCGCATAACTGGCCCCTTGGAACTCTGCTTTAGCCAATGAGCAACTGGCCAAATGATCTCATTTGAATTGTATCTTCTTCCCTTCCTCCTACCCCCCCATAGAAATGTTAATGAGAAAAGCAAAAGGGCAAGAACAAATCACCAGAGGAAAAAAGACAAAGCAGAGATAGCTATTCAATATGTACTGACATATAAAATCTATAAGAGAGAATCCGGAAAACGCTTTCTGACTTTACTGCCTCAATTTTATCGTGCTTTTAAAACCACAGATGGCAGGAACTGATAAGCAAGTAATTGTCTTTTCGAAAATGTCACGCACCTCCATTCTGTTGGAATACATGTTATAAATGTGCATTGAGCTGGAATAAATAGACTGCCATTTGGGTTGAGAAAATAATCTGCGGCGATTCCATAAAATGGAGATTTAGGAGGACTCAAAAAATATTCATTGATGCAGGAAGTTCTTGCAAGACAGATATTGGTACGTTGTAGGACAGGTGGAGGTTTCAACAGACAGATTACTGGAGTGAGATCTTTGACAGTCATCATTTACTGAGGCATCAAGTCCTTTGACCAGCCCTCAGCTGACATCTCTGCAGTCTAGGATAAAAAAAAAAATCGAAACTGAAAACCGCACGGTCAGAAAGCCAATAGATCCCAAGTATACTGGCGCTGAACCCCTTCCCTGCAGCTGAGATGGAAATAACATTACACATTAACACAGAGATCAAAGGGTAGAGGAGTTTATATCCTGTATCCCCGCAGCGTGGGACAGTTTATCAGCTTGGATATCAGTCTCCTAGAGGGACCAGTATCAGGTATACTGTTTGGGCTGAGAAAAGCTATTTGGAAATCTAAAAATACTTGTCTGTGGTTATTGAAATGACACCTAACTCATTTATGCAGGTAGTGAAATGTTTCAGACTTACTTAAATAAGTCATTATTCACGCTTAGTTTGTGCTCAGCCCTTTGCTTCTGGTTCTGGGGGGTATAAAGTTTGACACCGCCCCTGGATGTCAATGAAGGTGGGGAAACACTTAGAAGCCCTCGGAATTGACCTCCACTTACCTAGAATGAACTGGACTGAGAAGTGTGCTCATTCCATGGGGACTACCTTGCGTGAGGTGCTTTGAACCCCCAGGATGATCAGCAACCCTGGTCTGCCTGCCCATTGCTACTCCCTCCAGCCAAACTGAGGCAGTTGTGATTGTTCTCAAATCTGTTATGCCACTTGCACCGATAATTGCAATTATGCGATTTAATGAAACAAGATGTAAATTAATTAAGTAAGTAAAAAAAAGAGTTGGTATTTTTAGGGGTGCCTGGGTGGCTCAGTTGGTTAAGTGTCTGCCTTCAGCTCAGGTCATGATCCCAGGGTCCTGGGATCGAGCCCCATGTCGGGCTCCCTGCTCAGCAGGGAGTCTGCTTCTCCCTCTCCCTCTGTCCCCCCACACCGCCCCCGGCATGAGCTCGCTCTCTCTGTCTGTGTCAAATAAATAAATAAAATCTTTTTAAAAGGAGTTGGTATTTTTAGAACAACTAAGTCCAATGCTTTGTAAAAGTGAATTGCTCAAGAAGAGCTTTTGAATTAGTATGGGAAAGATGACAGAAAAAGAATGGGAGCAACTGATCTAGAAGGATTTTGGTGGGTATAGTCATTATAGGTATGCTTTCGAAAGACAGGGCTTCAATCCAATCAGCCAACCCACCTTGACTGTATTTCTAAAAATTGGCAAATGTATGCACATTTACACTTTAAAATGTCGTGGAGGCAGCTGATTGTCTCTTTCAATTAATGATCCTGATTTCATCAGATAAGAGGGCTTCGACTGTACATACAAAATTGATGAAATCAAACTCTAGTGAAGTGCCAGCCTGTGTGCATTGGCCAGTCAGTGGGATGGCAGTCCTTATAAAGAGAAGAGAAAGGAAATCTGGCATATAGGGAAAAGTTGCCCAGCAATTAATCACACACTGAAGCTGCCGCATTAACTTGAAAATATGTTTTCAAGTATTTTGCCCTTTCAGGACTGCTTAGGCAAACCAAAATATTTGCAATTCAATTGTTTTCAGTTACATCTTCCTTAACTGCCCTATTAGATTTAACATTCTTGGCGAAGCTTCTCAATGGAAACTATTTATTATCTGATTTGGCTCTGTTTGTAATTGAAAGGAGTCAAAAACAGTAAAGTATATTTTCTTTGAGACTAATTTTAGGTTCAAGAGATAACCAGGTGGGTGAAATAGCATAGAAAGAATAAGAAGATAGAAGCAATCTTTGTTTTCAGGGATCCTGTTGTAAACATTTCATAAAACAATACAGAAGCTAAAGGTGCACTTAGAATGACCTGGAAACCTCACTCCAGCCTCTGTAACAAAGGTCTACCTTAAGCTGGAGCATTTCACATGGCCTCTTCAGAATCAGCAGTGTGATTCCTCCCCTAGAGCAGCAAAGAGAGTGGGCAGAAATTTGCGCTCCATATAAAGGGAGGATTGGTGTTCTTAGGACAACATGAACTCTTTGCTTCTGAATTCATGTGTGCTCACAGACCCATGAACACCGCAGTCAAGCAAGCTCTCCTGAGAGGAGGTGCAGAGGAATCCCAATTCTGCATTATTTGAGAGTTGTCTCTTGCCAGCTCACTCCATAAAGACAGGGGAGGGGCTGTATAAGTTGTTGGGGTTTATGTATTGTGGAACATGCTACATCATAAAATGAGGGGCCAGGAGTAGACCTTGTGGGTAACATATATGGGCGTTGCGTATGAATGAGTTGAAGATAAAAAGACATGGCCCATTGCTCCCAGGGAATCTCAGTAAAGCACCCATAATAAAATGCTTCTTCATCTCACAGTTAAAGATATTACCCAGTTCTAAACGTGGTTATTCTTAGACTCCCAGACCTCTCGGTTTTATTGCCAAATCCATGCATGAGTAGAAAGCCTGAGGAGGCCTATCGTTCACTTCCATGACACCTGTTGACCTAAATCTTCGATGGAGAAGGGACCTTTAGTGGTGCGCTGGGATGGCTGTTACAAGCTCGCAGGGGCCCATCGAGCACCTCTTCCCTGACCTCACACCTCACATCAGTAGCTTGAAATTGACCACAGTGGGAGCCTTTATGCCACGGAAATGAGCATGCTTCAGATCGGGTTCGTTCTCCCGCTCCAACCTGAAAGCCAGTTTTATTTTATTTTTTATTTTCTTAGATTTCATTTATTTATTTGTCAGAGAGAACGAGCGCAAGCTGTGGGGAGCGGCAGGCAGAGGGAGAAGCAAGCAGCTCTACTCTACATTCTCAGTAGTGATTCACATGAAGTGTGTTTTGGGATGGCCACGGCACTGTAATGGGAGAGGAAAATATCTGTGATTTCTACTGGAGATGGAGTCGGCGGCCCAGCGAATACTACAGTGTGGTTGTTGGCTACATTCATGACCAAAGGAAAGGCCACATCTCAGCTAGGTGTTCGTGAAAAGAAAGATGTGGTTTATCTGCCATCCAGTGATTGCTCTGAGTTCTATCCATGGGTCCAGGGGCTGCACTGACTAGGTTAAGAACTCCCACTCGGTTAGAATCCTATTTCACATTTGTAAGCATCACAGTGAGCCTTGTTGCTTCACACAGGTTATCTCCCAAGTGGAGTTTACAAGGGAGGATTTCTCTAGAAAGAAAAATAGCTTTGTTTGGACTCCAGTAGTCACAAAATTCACAAATTAGGTGTCTGTTTATATAATAATTCCTCAAGCTATTATTTTCATTTAAATAAGCACCCCCTAATTGATTAGTCAGCTTTAACGTGTCAGGGGGATGCCCATATTTATATCCCCAAATGTCGTGAAGGTGTATCCCTCCTAGATGTCTCTGTGGGCTTTTCTCCCTGCTTGCAGTCTTTTCTCTGTTGTCCATTTGCATGTCTTGGTTTTTTACCCAACTGAAAGAACCAGCCCAAACCCCACCTCCTGTCTCCAGGCTCCTGTGGCTATTCCAGCCCACCGTGGCTTCTCCATTCCCTACCCTCGTGCAGAACCACTGCTGTCATCTTCAGGTCACTATATTATTCTGTTCCTAGTAAGGATCCTATTGGACTCCTCTCTCCCACTGTTGCCAAGTCCTTTACATTCTTTCTTAACCCCACCTCTAAAATCCGTCCCACTCTCTCAGTTCAGATTGTAATTCGATTTTATTTATCCATTTGAGGGAGAGTAGAGAGCACATGTGTGCATACTAGAGGGGGGCAGAGGGTGAGGGAAAAGGACAAGCAGACTCCCCACTGAGCATGGAGCCCAATGTGGGACTGGATCCCAGGACCCTGAAGTCTGAACCTGAGCCAAAGTCAGTTGCTTAACCGACTGAGCCAGCCAGGTGCTGCCAGACTGTAGTTCATTTTCACTGAGACTGTGATATTAAACACCTAACAGGTCATCCTAACTTCAGTCTTGCCCCCTCATTCTATTCTACACTCTGCTCCCAGAGTTATGTCTTCAAGACATAGATCTGACCATTTCACACCCCACTCTCTCCTCAGAGGCCCCCCACTTTATATGGATAAGCATGGCTTCCAAATCTTATCTTGATCTGAAGCCAGTCTACATTTCCATCATTCTTCCCAGAGAAACGTTGCAGCAGTGGTAGAAGGATCACCCTTCCCCTAGAGACGCCCTGCGTGTTCCCCACACCTTACCTTTGCACAGGCTATTGTCTTGTCTAGAATGCCCTTTCTCCTAGCTTTTCCCAGTGTAGGTCTCTGTAATCCTGCAGAGCTCTATTCAAGTCAGTTGCTCCACAACAAATCCTTAGGGCCCCTAGACCTGAGTTAGCACCTACACTTCCGTTCTCTCATTGAACTTTGCTCATTATTTTATTGTTGCACTAAGACACAATTTCATCTGTATTTCATCTGTCAGTCTCATTATAGAAGGGATAGAACCGTAGCCATCCTGAAAACACCCCTCCCCAACACACACAGCATTTAGCACAGAGCCTTGTTCATAGTTCACTAGCTATCCCACTTACTTATTTTTCAAGGGAATTACTCTCTGATTCTTTAATGAAAATATATTTAGCTCCTCCCAATGAGATTTCAGTTATTTGTTTAAAAGGAATCTGAGGGGTGCCTGGCTGGCTCAGTCGGTAGAGCTTGCAACTCTTGCTTCTCAGGGTCATGAGTTTGAGCTCACGTTGGGCATGGAGCCTACTTAAAAAAAACAACAACAGGAATTGGCTTTGCTCTTCTTTGTATTTTCTCATAGTACTAAGCACTTATGGGTGCTCCATAAATACTTGTTGGCAGGAATTAATGATGGCATTTACTAATTTTCCTAAGTATGCTTAATTCTTATGAGGTATGTATAATTTGCTCAAGGAAGCATTCTTATTAGCATGTAATCCTGAAGACTTTGCTTATTAATTGAACTGTTAGACCTGCTATCAAAAGTATAAGTGGAAACATGATGCAGGATTCATCTCCCTGTTTTTTTCTACATTGGAAGCCAGCCAGTTTCAGACTTTAATACTTGCAGATATAATCAACCAAGAGATTTAAGGAGATTCCTAAGTCTCTTATGTCTGAAGTTAAAATGAATATTACAGTGCTATGGAGTTAACCACATTTGTAACCATGTGATAAATGTACTATAAAGAACGTTCGATTTCATGGGTCATCTTTTTTACAGGGCCTGATGATGCACAACAAAAAATAGAACCTCATCACACAGCAGTGCTGGGGGAAGGTGACAGTGTCCAGGTGGAGAACAAGGTATTAAAAATCGTTAATTTTCTTAAATTGCACTTTCTACTAGTTTACAGGTAAATGCCTAAATCTCCAGTGCAGCTGGAAATTTTTCTCTCTTTCTTAGGCAAAGAAACTATACCCCATGTTTATTATTCCCTTTCATTAACCTCTTTATTTCTATTGGTTTGTTTTAAGGTTTTCTCTATACCCATTGCTCATCTTCTGGACTCACCTGAAGTCTCTGTTGTTTACCCCTAGACATTTGAATCTGGAGGCAACATGTCTTCCTTGTCTCATAATTTTCTTTCTTTAGACACTTGATTTATTTTATTTTTAGACTAAGTGAAAATGGATCCGCCCTCTGGGAGTATAAATATAGATCTCCATGCTTACTCACAGAGAGCCCTTTGCAGGTCAGCCCCATTTCGAACCGAGAGGAGCATATGATGCATTTCGTAGTCCCTCTTGTGTTGAACCCCTGCTTCTTAGGTAGAGTTTCTGAGATTTTAGGAGTCTCCTTGCCTAGTTTCTTCCCTGGCTCTCTTTCATTCCCTTGGGTGATTCTCTTACTCTCTTGTGAGCCTGCTAAGCCAATCTGATGGCTTTGTGTCGTTTTCATAAAGAGGATTGAAGAGACAATTGTGCAAAAGCCTCTGACAAGCTGAATTTTTCAAAGTAGGGATGAAAACTACTTCAGTGTGTAGGTGACTGGTGGAGAGGCAGGCTGATTGCCGTGTGGCGCTCTGCCCCTGGGGTTGTAGAATGCAGTGGATTTGAAGTATTACTACATCCTAGCCCACTTTTCTGGCAGCTCACCTACTGTTGCTTTAGTCATCCATGGCACCACCATGAACTAGGAATTAAGTAGAAGAAAATCCTCCGGGGCACCAGAGAAAATGCAGATCTCGGGGCCCGTGCCCTCTCTTACTAGGTTGAACTGTTTGAAATTGCTACTTTTGACCTACGGAAATGACAGTTTCCTTTGTGCCGACCCTGTGCAGGAAAGAAGCATGGAAGCTACACATAGGCCAGAACCTCCTGATAGCAGATTTGTTTGTAACATTATCCGATTTAACTTGACACCTCCGTTCTTCCTGTAATCTAGCAGAGGGCACATTGCAAATGAGAAGGACTCGGAAGCTGGAATGAACCACCAGAAAGTTGCCGAGGAGAGCCAGAAAGACAGGAGGCAGCTGGGAGAGCCAGGAGTTGGCGAAAATGTCAGTTCACTGGCTCCAAAGGCACCGTTCTGTTGTGGACACTTCTGTCATTAATGCTGTGTACGAGCACAGCTGGAGCAGCAAGGCATGAGAATGATTTCTATGAAAAAAAAATTTTTAGAAAACTAGCATTTCAATGGGTGTGTCATGCTTATGTCTGTGGGTAGCCCCAAGTCCCTGTAGATTACAACAGAGAAGGAATAGTGAAGGTATCTAGGTAGCTTAGAAAGTTCACTATTCTGAACGCCTAATTTAATAGATAGTCATGTCAGATACATGTTACCTAATGAGGATTCATACTTTAGGCCCGAAGATTCAGGGCACATAACAGTTTCTAGAGCTAGAAAAAGCCTCTAAAGTGTCCTGATTCACTCCATGGCCCCAGGTCAGGGTTATCTGCAATGGGAACTGAGCTTGAGGATTAAAGAAGGAAGATGTGACTTCCTAATGCTCCCCCTAATCCCATTTGCACTGAGTTGTGGTCAAGAATAAGGATTTGGTATACTCCCTGGCTTCCGTCTAGCCCTTTCAGTACTCCTTACTTCTGAGTCTTCCACAGTCATGCCTGGCTACCTGGTTAACCAGTGGTATGTGTGGTTTCCTCTAGAGTGGCCAAGCCTCTGGGGCAGGAGAGGGGGGCACTGAAGGGTTGATGTGGATCACGTCTGTCCCCAGGTTTCCTGCTCCATCTTAGCATTTGACTTGTCTTAGAGTCAGCACATTTTCGGCTTCAGGGACCCCTGTCTTCTTGCAGAGGGTGGATTGTCCTCTGTGACTATTACTCTGAAGTCTTCCATGGCAGGTAGCAACTGCAGGGGGCCTGGTTTATGCCAGATTTCAGAGTCTTTAAGCCAGACCGTTGACTTTTTGGAGGAAGCCCTAACTCCCAACAGTGGCTTCAAAATAGTCTTAACTTATTCATAGTTCTTAGAGATTGGGATCAACCCCATGCTGCACTGGGCATTTAATCCTGGACTGTACTGATGACCCTGAAACAGCCTCTGTTTCAGGGAGTAAGGCTCCCTGTGCTGCTTTGGCCCACAGTTGGTGCTCTGGGTGCCAGGATGGCTCCCTGATCAGGAGCACATTGGTTTGATATGAAAGGCTAGATGTCACCTTGAGAGACATGTCCTATTGAGAAAGTCTTAAGCCTCACGCATCAGCAGATTCACTTGTAGTTTGTCAAGGTAGACAATCAATTCTTCATTGGCTGCCCCCAAAACAATATTTGAGAGTCACGATACTCTTAACTGCCACCATTCATGGGGAACTCAGTAAATGAATACAGATTAACCTTTTGATTCAAATACAGATCAAAAGACAGAAATAAAACAAAACACCCTATTAAAGCTAGAGACAACTTCTTTGCTTATTTATGGGTAAAAATTCATAACCATTAATTTTTAAAAACTGGTAACAGTTCATTGTTTTATCTTTAAATTGGCCTAAGAAGTGTCAACAGTGAAATCCAGTAAGAACAAGTGCATACAATTAAGTCAAGCTAAAGTTCGGTTTCTTCCTGGTAATTGTTTTGCGGTAATGTATCACTATGAAAGGTGTCCTTAAACCAAAAGCATGCCCCTTAACTCATTCACAGAGTCCTACTGCCATCTCAAGCTTCAGAATCAATCAGACTGTGAGTCCATACTAACAGTGGAGAAGTTATCAACACTTTCAGTGAATCATAGGGCCTTCACCTGGGTATTGATCATTTATTGTTGGTATCAGTGGAACTCAGGAACTATCTTGGCAATAATATTTACGGGATAACAAGAGCAATTTGTAAGAGGAAATTATTCAGTAAACCCAGAAGGGCCTAACTCTGAACTAAGAACTCTGAGAAGGTTCACTGAAGTCAAAGACATGGTCTGGGCTGGAAGTGATCATGATCTTCAGGTGGGGTAACTATACATGAAGCAGTAAGTGGGCTCCCGTTGCCTTTGTATGGGGTCTTTTCATCAAGCCCTAAAAGGTATTTACTGAGATCCTCACAGGGACTCATGTCTGAAACAGCTCTTCATTCTCTTTCCTTGTGCATGATTTTCATCATTTGACATTATACACAAGGACACCGTAGATGAGGACTTTTCAAGGTAACAGCAGTTGGGACTTTTAAGCACATCAGCACTCTACTAAAGTACAGAAAGATGATTAGCTTTCACCAAAGAAGGCTAGATAGGAAAAGAAAAAAAGATACATTTAAGAAACAAGAAAAGGACATCAAACATCTGGTTTGGGGTAGAGGAGAAGGGGCTACTGAGAGGTTAATTTAGTGGAAAGGTCATTAAAGGAAGTGTGGACCATCATTCAGGTTTCTGAAATGGGAATCCAAACTCCTGACCTCCTCAACACCCAGCAGTGAAATCATTTTTCATTTCCCATCAAATGTAAGTGTCCCTTTATTATACTGTCCAAATTATAAATGGAAAGTCATCATTTGATCTAAGTAATATCAAAAGAAGCAAAACTCTTATTTTTAAGCTTGATCATCATTCCTAAATGTGTAAACTGGAAGATACTTTGTCATTCACAAAAGGTGCATCTTCTGAATTAAGAAACTTACATTCTTGGGACACCTGGCTGACTCAGTGGGTGGAGTGTGTGACTCTTGACCTTGGGGTTGTAAGTTTGAGACCCATGTTGGGTACAGAGATTATTTAAAAATAAAAACTTTTTTTTTTTGAAGAAATTTACATTCTGAGGAGTTGGCACATCCATGACCCAAGGAGGTCGGCCATTCCTCGCCCCTTCTCCCGTAACCCCCAACCCTTTCTCCGCCTGCTGACCCTAAAACTCAAGCGTGTCTCTGAAAAAGCACCTCAAATCATTATGCAATGACATCTTCATTCACATTAAATTATATATGATATAGTACCAATGATCAGAACTATTTTTCTAAAATACTTTTCTTTTACATGTCTTTTGATTCACACTTAAATTTCACCACTCCATAGTCGTTCGGGAATAAAGCTTTCTTGATAACTGCATTTTTTAAGTTGAATTTTTAGTCATTTAAACGTGATGTTGGAAAAAAAAGACATCATTTCCGATAGAAACCCCACCCTTTCCTGTGGGCTTAGTGTATATTATACACAATTTAACTTGTTCATAACCTTGGATCATCAGCATGTGTATTAATTATTGTCCTGAGCTATAATGTATGATGATGTCTGTAGAGCCTGTTGGCTTCACTAAGTGGTCCTAGACTAATTTTTAAGCTTCTGTGCCTGTTTTACATAGTCTTTTTTTTCATTTCCATCATTGATCTTAAGCTATTTTCTTATATTGCTCTATAGTAGTTACTTTTCTGTCTTCCAGCTCTGAATCCCTCATAGATCTGAAAACCACAAAGCCTAATTGTTAGCATGATGTCTAAAGCAAGAATAAGTAGGGACTGAGTGTCTGCACTTAGTTTAAAGCGCTAATCTTTAGTATACGGAGTTTATGACATCTCTTTTTAAAATGTGAACTACCAGAAGCCTTTTTAGGCTTTTTGATTTTCAGGTGAGTTCATGTTAGCATACTGTGACAGCAGGTTGGGTTATGGATAGGTAAGGTGATGATGTATAAATAAATAGAGCCTGGAAATGGTTAAACAGAGATGTTTTTTAAACACGAAGAACTGATTAGTGCACCCGCTGGGTGGCTGTGCTAAATGGCACCAACCCTGGGACTGTAGGGGGTAAGTTACGACTTTTGCAGAAACCGTTCTACCCCAGCTTGCCTTTTAATACTTTAAAGTTGGAGGCAGAAGGAGAAATCAATTTCAGTCCTGTACAATACGAATTTTTTTTTAACTACATGGAAGTCTAAAAAATTATTTATTTTTGTTGAATCTAGATAAGTCTTCTGGTACTAGTAACATTATAATGATTTCTACTTAATAAGCTTTGTATTAGAAGTATATAAATATAATATGATGTAGTATAATTATCTTACCACATATTTAGAAGTAATGCTATATTAGGGGCGCCTGGGTGGCTCAGTGGGTTGAGTGTCCAACTCTCAATTTCGGCTCAGGTAATGATCTCAGGGTTGTGGGAGGGCTCTGCCCTCAGCAGGGAGTCTGCTTGAGATTCTCTCTCTCCTCTCTCTGTCCCTCCTCCTGTGTACGCTGCCTCTCTCTAATAACAATAAATCTTTTTTAAAAAAGAAAAAAATTTAAAAAAGAAATATGCTATATTATTAGAATAGGGTGAAGTTTTAAACAATTTTTGAAGGCTTTGTTCTAAAGCTCCTCATCATTATTGCTTTATTTATTATTTTATTCTAAATTAGATAGACCTAAAAGATGCCTCCAAAGAACGTTCAGTTCTCTCTTAGTGATTAACAAATCACCCTAAACCCTAGTGGCTTACAACAGTTACTGTTTCTCACAAGTGAGGTGGGGGTTCGGAGTCATACTGTCAGTGTTCTCTGGAAGGATTCCTGTAGCAGCTTAAAATCTCCCAAATGATCTATAAACGTGTCTTTTTCCCTGCATCCACACTGGCACTGGACATTGTAATTCATACTTCCAGTTTGGGGGAAAAAATCGAATCTTAATTCTAAAGACAAACTTTTAGAGACTTTAATATAATAGGACCCGTTTGGAGAGAAATTTATCTGAGCAGATGTCACCTGGATGTTTTGAGAAGGTTCCATTTAGTGCAACATTTCTGGGTCATATTTTACATTAATAGCAAAAAATGTCAAAAGTAATCAAACCTTACTTTTGGATTTGCATAGATAATGTTCCCTTTTAAAAATTGTTAATGGGAGATTATAAACCCTGTAATACGATAAGCAAATCCCATGGTTTGTCTTAAGGGTGTTTCCGGTTAAAGAAAATCTTTTCATTTGCATTCTCCTCCTTTATCTGAGAAGGTTAATCTTTTGGCGGTCTGGACGTACTCTTGAGTGCTGATTGAGAAGACCAGTCATCTTAAGGAATAAATGTTTCCATATTGAGTGTTACACAGAAAATACTTCTGGAATTTATATTCAGAATTAGGAACATCATCCTTCTGGCCAGCATGTCAGTTTCAAATTATTCCTGATTTGACATTCAGAAATAAGCATGTTTAGGGTGCTGCCTGGGTGGCTCAGTCAGTTAAGTGTCTGCCTTCGGCTCAGGTCATGATCCTGGGGTCCTGGGATCGAGCCCCATGTTTGGGCTCCCTGCTCAGCAGGGAGCCTGCTTCTCCCTCTCCCTCTGCCCTTCCCCCTGCTTATGCTCTCTCAAATAAGTAAATAAAATCTTCAAAAAAAAAAGCATGTTTATTGTTTGATGTTTTCTTCCTTCACTTTAGGATCCTGAGAGAAGCCACTTCGTCCTAATTGCTGGGGAGCCATTAAGAGAACCAGTTGTCCAACATGGTAAGCCCCAAACGATGGCAGTTTTCCTGGTTGATTTCTTTTTCTTTGAAACTAGTATACATGTATAGTATTATGGGGAAGAATAGCTGGATTTTTGTCCTCCTTACCTACAAATTCGAAGATTTTGTTTCATTGTTCCATCATCGGAGGAAAATATATACATGGTATTTATTTCCATATTCATTCTCTCCTTCTTTTAAAGGAACAGTTCTTGAATACCTATCACGTGTAGGACATTGAGCTTAGAACGGTAGGGAAACAGAAGTAGTGTTTTGCATTCTGTCATAGGGAACTTCAACTTACAGAAAGATTTTGTGGCCTGCTGCTGGAATATCATTTTTATCTTTACTAAAAACAACAGTGATTTCAATACTGTTTGTAATCCATTGTATTTTTAGTGAAAAATAGGTACCTCTTAAGAATATCTGTTGTGGCAGTTTCTAAAATATTTGAGTCACTCCTTCTTTGTTTAAAAAACAAAAATGAATAGAGGGAACTGTGGTATAGTAGAAATAGGACTTTAGTTGGAGGCAGAAACTCCTGGAATAAGTAACCAGTCACTTCACTTTGTCTTGACTTCCTCATAATATTGTTTTATTAAATGAGGAACATCTAAAAGCACCTAGAATCCAACTTAATATTCATTTTTATTAAGAAATTTTTTTTGTCAACTTATTTAGATAACTGCCTATAAAACATGTCTACTTATCTAATTATGAAATTTAGCGTGCCTTAAAATCCCATCGTATTACCTTGCCTTGCGTGAATTCCCAGGTATACACAATGATTTCAGGGAAAAAAGCCCAGCTGATAATACATTTCAAGAACAACTGATTATTTAAAAAACATTGTTTTTGTTCTATTAATAACTTGAGGGGAAAACATTAAATTATACTCCACCTAGCCAACAGTGGTTGGCCTCCATTTTGCATGCTTCAGTTTCCACTCCAAAGGTGCATGGTTCTAGTTTCCTTTTATCTTGATTGAAGAGCACTGAAATCATTTGTTCTTCTGGAAGAAGCCTGAAGACAGATTGAGAAGGGTCATAATATTTATTCATAGTGGCTAGAATTTAGGTGGGAAAAGGACGTGTGGGATGTAAGTCTTTTGAGTTTAATAATTGCCTCTGCACCAATGATGAGAAATGAGAGTCCGACCAAATGAGGTGACAGACCAAAGGGGTAGGTTTGCTGGGGGCCCCGCCTCCGTTCGTGTTAGGGGAATCCTCTCTCAGAGGCTTGGATCTTGGGAACACTGCATAAGCCTGCACATTCAAACTCAGATTAAGAAGGGAGGAGCAAGATGGTGGAGGAGCAGGAGACCAAACTCAGATTAACCAGACAAGATAGATAAGTGCCTTGACATCTGTTAATGAGAGGCAAAGCATTTTGTTTGGTTTGTTTATTGTGGGGTTTTTTGTTTGTTTATTTTTACTTTTTAAACCCCAGAAAGTTTTTCTTTTACCTGTGTGTGTTTAAAGACAGCCACAACCATCTCTTGGCTGTTTGGGAACCAGTACCAATTTAATGAACTAGCCAAGGACCTTGTTTTTCTTATCAGGGAGTGTCCTTAATGATGTGTCTACAGATTAAGCATGGAATGTCACAGAATGTTGGAATAGGAAACGTCTTTAGCATCGATGTAGTCATGTCCCTTTTTACAAAGGAGGAAAATGAAATCAATATATTTTATTTATTTACGTAACAGATACTTGGGTAGTATTTATCATTGACTATGATGGGTCAAAGTGCTTTCCATCTATTAATTCATTTAATCTTCAGGACAACCTTATGAGGTTGGTACCCTCATCCCCATTTTACAGATGAGGAAGTGGAGGTACAGAGGTTCATTGGCTTGTCTACTGCCACATAGCTGGATTCACAGTCGGGCTGTCTGATTTCCAACCACCCTGCCCTTCTGCTTCTTACCGTGTTGGGTTGACCCTCGCTCTGCCCTCTGGCTTCTCTGTTGGGAAGTGATGATTAGTAGTGGAGCTGGGATTCGAACCCTAGTCTTCTGACCCCATGCTTTGTGCTCTCCACTATACCAGGGTTCTACATAATGAGAGCTTGAACTCACACCATTTTTATTACTCAGGAGGGAATATAAAGGTTTAAGTAGAGAAAAGACGAAAGCTGTAGTTTGAAAGAGTATTTACGAGATTATTGATGACTATCAAATAATTTTCTTGTTTATAATCCTTACAGTTGATCGATTAAAAAACATGCTTTCTGGGGGATGTAATGTGCAGCATGGCAACTACAATTAATAATACTGTAGTGCATATTTGGAAGTTGCTAAGGGAATAGATCTTAAAAGTTCTCATCACCAGACTGAGGCGCCTGGGTGGCTCAGTCAGTTAAGCGTCTGACTCTTGGTTTTGGCTCAGGTCATGATCTCGGGGTCATGAGATTCAGCCCTGTGTTGGGCTCTGCACTGGATGTGAAACCTGCTTAAGATTCTCTCTCCCCCTCTGCCCCTGCCCTCCTCCGTTCTCTCCCCACCCCCCAAAAAAGTTCTCATCACAAGAAAAAAAAAAATCTGTAACTTTGTGTGGTGATGAATATTAACTAGACTTACTGTGGTGATCATTTCACAGTATGTACAAATATCAAATCATTATGTTGTACATCTTGAGACTAATACAATGTGTGTCAATTATGCCTCGATTTCAAAAAACAGTAAATTTAGTGATATAGTATGCAAAAAAAGAACAAAAGGAAAAGAAAAACAAAAACATGCTTTCTGGTTTTAGTTTTCTTCTTCCTCTTAAGGATTCGAGGAGACAAGCTTCCTCAGCTCGGCTTTTGAAGGCTCCAAGCTTCCAGTGCTTCCCTTGTTTCTCAAAGTGTGGCCCACGGACCAGCAGTATCTGCATCACTGAAGAATAGTGAGAAATGCAGGGTTTCAGACTCCACTCTAGACCTCCTGAAACAGAATATACATTTTAATAAGATTCCCAGGTGATTCACATGCACATTATAAATTGAGAAGCAGAGCATCATACTGTAGAAAAGTGTCAAAATGGAAGCCCAGAAGTATACCATTTTTTTCAGAAAAATAATCAGGGGATGGGAGAGGTGCTCCACAAATCCAGACTGTAGTGGTATTATGACGTGCAAGAAATTGGTCCTTGGCCCAGGATCTGCTCTCATTTTGAGTTCCATTTCCCTTTCTTCTATGTGTCCTTTAAAAGTTGACTTCTCAGGGCACCTGGGTGGCTCAGTCGGTTAAGCGTCTGCTTTTGGCTCAGGTCATGATCCCAGGGTCCTGGGATCGAACCCCGCATCGGGCTCCCTGCTCAGCAGGGATCCTGCTTCTCCCTCTACCTCTGCCTGCCACTCTACTTGTGCTCTCTCTCTATCTCTCTGTCAAATAAATAAATTTAAAAAGAAAAAGTTGACTTCTCCAAGGTGTCCTCTTGGATTGATTTTGTATATGAGAGCTCTGTCATTCTTTCCTACCTGATATAGTTCAGGTCTCTATCTCCAGATGAAATTTATTTCATGAGCCCCAGATCCATGTTTCTAGCAACACACCAAGCACCTCTGCCAGGAAGCTGTTCTCTTGTCTCCACTTCCTTCATGTCAGAATATCCAGAGCTGGACTCCTTGTTCTACCCACAGCCTCCTGTGTCTGGTATCTCAGCTGCCCTTAACAATTCTACCATCGGGGCGCCTGGGTGGCTCAGTCGTTGGGCGTCTGCCTTCGGCTCAGGTCATGATCCTGGGGTTCTGGGATCGAGCCCCGCGTCGGGCTCCCTGCTCCGCGGGAAGCCTGCTTCTCCCTCTCCCTCTCCCCCTGCTTGTGTTCCCTCTCTCGCTGTCTCTCTCTCTGTCAAATAAATAAAATAAAATCTTTAAAAAAAAAAAAATTCTACCATCAACTCAGCCTCACAGGCCAGATACCTTCTCTATCCTGGTGCCAAAGTCTTTAAAAACTGCAAATCAGATCACATTACTGTCTGCTGAACCCTTCAGTGACTCTTGATCGCCTGCAGAATTATGCCCGAACTTCTTCCCACAGACCACATCCAAAGCCCACAGGGGTCTGGCCTCTTCCTGCATGGCCATTCTTCCCCCCTTCAGTCTCTCCTTCTAGCACTGTGCCCCCATCCTCAATTCGTCCACTTTGAGCAAAACCCGAGTTCAAATGTAGGAATTAGACAAAGGCGCCAACAGGCTGTGACCCGTGGGCCAAATCTGCCCACTGCATGTTTTTGTAAATAAAGTTTTATTGGAACACAGCCATCCCTATTCACTTTCATATAGTCTATGTCTACTCTTATGTCAACAGAAGAGTTGAGTAGTGGAGGCAGACACTGTTTGACCCACAAAATCTAAAATACATACTATCTGGCCCTTTACAGAAAAAGTTTGCCAACTGGTAGAGAAACCAAAATGTGATGGTTTCTTGACTCAAAATGTTTGTAATCTCCTGTTTATTGCCAATGAGTTGCTGCTAATTTTCAAGAGTGACTCAAACCCCTCATATAAGGGCACAGCTTTGTATACTGTGTAGACACCAAAACTGTGACATTTGCCAGTTCTTTGCATCAGATCAGTTCAGTTCTTGACCTCAGCTGTTGCTATCAAACTAACAAACACAGGAAATCTTAAAAGTTCCTACCATGAGAAAAAACAATTCTGTGTGTGGTGACAGATGTTAACCAGATTTACTGTGCTGATCATTCCACAATATATACAAATATTGAATCATTGTGTTGTCCACCTGAAACTCCACCTGAAAATACAACATAATGTTGTATGTCAATTACCCCTCAGTAAAAAAAAAAAAAAAAAAAGGAAGAAAAAACTCACAACTATAAAAATTGTTTTAATGGAACCAAGCCCAAGAATATTTCGAATGAAGAGATTACCATTGCTGATGACAACTTGCAACAGTGACTTGAGTGGGATGCAGTTGTTTATGTGATTTGTTTATCTGAAGTTTGGCCTTTATAATTCTACACAATACTAGTCAAGAAACTTGTATTATAGTCCTTAGGGATTGGACGCTGCGAAAATCACCTTTTACTACTCAGATATGCCTGGATTGGTTTCCGATTAAGAACTCCAGAAATATATATCGTTTTTAGTAATAGAAGAAAATATTATCGTCACCCAGAACTTTCAGAATGTCTCTTTCTGCCCTAGGTCCATTTGTGATGAACACCAATGAGGAGATTTCTCAGGCCATTCTTGATTTCAGAAATGCGAAAAATGGGTTTGAAAGAGCCCAAACCTGGAAATCAAAGATTGGAAACTAGTGAAGAGCACCAGACCAGGTCTCCGTGCTTTCTAGAATTTTGCCAGGCATCCATCCATTCAGCACATTGAGTTTCCAAAGCTGACTGAGCCGATGCTTCTAGAGTGATAACACGGTTTTTATAGCAATGCACACGAGATATTTCCTGGTCCATGCAAATAAACCTAATTGTTGCTTCTTTAAAAATCAGTGTTCTTCATTTTGATCTAAGTTACTAAGTTTCTGTTTAAACAAATCATTTTGTGTATGTTTCCCTTTTCATGTGTATATGAATGTTTTGTGATTTTTGCGCACGGGTGAGTTTTGTAAGCATATCTGATTGCTTTCTGCGTGTCCCTGGCAGTCGATGTGCGAGCGTCTGAGGTCCCTTCCCGGGCAATGCAGTTTCCATACAACATTCATGCCTGTGTGCTGGGGTTTCACATTACGGGTTATGTGCGTTAAAGTAACAGCAGTCCTGAGGGTTTGAGTCAGTTTTTAAACCGGCCCTGCTATTGGTAGGGACGCGACAGGATTACAGCCAAGACTTCCCTGCATTTTCTGCCAAAATCGCTGTCAGATTTAAGACACATGCTTCCGCAACCTTCCATGAGGGTTGCGAGAAAAGTTTGAATCCAGAATTGGGTTCCAGCCTTCTGTGGCTGCTGACATTGGTGGCCACATCACCTCCTCACAGAGCAACTAGAACCTGGGGCATAGGGTGGAAGGATTGTTTTTGTTTTTGTTTTTTTAATTTGCTGGACGTGAAGTGAATTTCGAGTGCTTTTTCATGTCAAGTGCAAGTCATGTCCACCTCCTGATTATTTTTGGAGCATGAGAGCATTTAAATTTTTTTTTTTTTATCTCTCTCCCCGCATAAGATTGAGCAAAAACGTTCCTTGACTAATTGAAGTCATTTCATTGGATTTTGATCACAACTGATTATTTGTTTTTTTCCATGTGAAGTCTTGGGGTTTCGAACTTTCCTTCTGGAGAATGCCTTTTGAAACAGTTTGCTCTCGCTGCCTGATGCCAACTGCTTGGTAAACCAGTGGATATTAAAATACTCAAAATGTACAGACAATGGGCCATGCTGAATGTTTTCATGATGTCTTATCTGCAGTTGGTGCAGGGCTCCAGTTATGAACATGGACCAGTGAAGGTAGGTGGCTTAATTTTTAGTGTGATGCAGAGTTTTCTTATTGGCTTATACAGAGGACTTTCTTTCTTTGCCCCCCATTTTCCAGACAATATAAGACACTCCTAGTAGTGGACAGGATATATCTTGCGTTGGTTAATGAGTATTCTGGTTCTTAGGCTTACTAAGATTCTTGCCATGCGTGTTTGAAAATGCTGGTTTTTTGTTGTTGTTGTTGTTTGGAGATGTAATAGAACATGAATGAGCCCTCTGGGCACTTTTCAGATGGCTAAGTTTCTCCTTAATTAGATATGCAGATGGCACAGTGATTTTCTAATGAAACACTGATTTGTTTTTGTGACACGGATAACTGTGTGGGCCATTTATTCACATTGTTTGTAAGCAGCAAACGTTAGTTTAGTTTCATTTCTTTTGTAAATCGCAAACTGCAATACTTTCTCCAGATAGTTTCTCTCTGGTTTTCTAAAATACCCATAGCTACCATCTAGAAAAATGTCTTCTTGGAAGTCGTTTGGGTTTTGGCTTTTTGAAATGTGTAAAATTCAACAGTAATTGAATCCTTGGTTCTATGGGCAAGCCTCAGAGCCGGATGAGTTGAGAGTAATGCAAAAGAATTAACTGGGATGTTACTTGGCGAGCAATATTTTGCCCAGTTTCATGTATTTTGTAGATTATACTGTTTTCTTCAGCTCTTTAGTTTGAAAATGATTTGGATTTAATTGTTTTGACAGAAGCGGTGCTGAATTGTTACTGATTAAGGAATTTCTGGCCACGAGCAGTCAGATGTGAACTTGAGGTTTTGTAGCTGTTGTTAGGACACACATTTTCAGCAGGGGTGATATCGCCCCCAACAGGAGAAGATTGGTCCTTGGGGTGAACAAGTCTTCCTCTCATTCCATGTGGAGTACAGATGTACATAGGGTGCCTAAACAGACACACAGTTTGTCTGTGAAGGTTGAACGCTGTGCTGGGGGACAGCCACCTTGTCTGGCAGTCTACTCAAGTCTTTCTAAAAAAAAAAAAGAAAAGAAAAGAAAAAAGGAAAATCTAGCTTCCCAAATTCCACATGCACTCCGGAGAACCCACAGCTGCTGTTCGGCTCCCCCTCATTGCCACCGGCGTGCGGGCTGCATCTCAATGCCAGATGGTAGGCAGAGAGGAATCCACTGTTGAGCCTAGGTGACAGGGGAAGAAATTGGACTTGTTCGAAGCAAATAAGACTTCTCAGGCTGTTCAGCTTTTTTGAAGTCCACGAAACTCAGGAATCCTTTAGATGTGCTGGGTTCATGGAAGCTTTTTTTTTCTTTTTTCCTCTCCAGTGTTACGCATGGATTTAAAAAAATGTTTCCATTTGACTTTGAACGTTACTGCACTGGACAGCACAAGAGGAGATTTTGAATTGTTGGAAAGAAGTAATATGCTTGAGGTTCTTCCGCTCTTTTAAAGAGCTCAGACACCAAGAATTCTTTAGGTGTCCTAGGCATGGTGAGGTTTTAAGTGTTTCAGATGTACTGATCACACGTGAACTTATTTCGTGGGGCGGTGGAAGAAAGAGTTTGAATTTGTATGTGACAGAAGACATGTCCTTACACATGGAAGATGCAGCATTATATGCTTAGTAATATACTATTAGCGATTTTTTCATATATGTCTGAGTTTCCTTTAAAAAATGAAGCTCCAGGGCGCCTGGGTGGCTCAGTCGTTAAGTGTCTGCCTTCGGCTCAGGTCATGATCCCAGGGTCCTGGGATCGAGCCCCACATCGGGCTCCCTG